CCCCCCCCTAGATCTAGATGAAAAGGAAAGTCTTCACCATGAACTTTGAAATTGTTACATAGGTTTACTCCAGCTCCTATCAGTATAATGAGATTTTCCTCGAAATGGTCGTTGGTGGTTGGAGTGCGTAACTACGCTCGTAATAGTGCAGATCCAACTTCTCTTCTTTCTCTCTGCTGTTTCTGACTATCTGTTCTGCACTGTCTGTGAGACCGTCATTGTATCGGTGTTCTTCTCTTTACTCCAAGGCGTCTATATAAAGCTTACCAGTCTAAATTATATAGCCGACTGCGGATGAGTTGATGTCGTCGGGGAGTGGAAAAAAGATCAACTCATCAGAAGTTCCACTCAACCGTTGGGATATGAAAAAAAAAATGGTGAAATGGTATGGGTTTAACGCCCCTATCAACACTATTAGGTTATTTAAGAGGCGAGACCTCCTAGTTTAGCGTGCGTCTCCGAAAGAACCGAGCCAAGTGGGACATTCGTGTAAAGTGCTTTCCCAAGGACACAACGTCGGACCGAGCTGAGGCTCGAACCCCCGAACCCGCCCGTTGGGATCTGTAAAGAAGAGTTGTTGGAACCTGAGAAAAAGATCGTAAAGACGAGTTGTTGGAACCTGAGAAAAAGATCGTAAAGAAGAGTTGTTGGAACCTGAGAAAAAAAATATCAACTTAACGGAAGATCAGCTCCAGCGATTTCAACCCAAGCGGAGTCGACGGTAATATTATTATGCATTTAGCAGACGTGACCATCTTGCAGTCTACCCGCGACACTGACTCGGTGGTCACGCCAGCTCATTCTACAGTTACAGACCCACGAGACGTACGTGCCAGGGCCACGTTCTCCCACTTTGTATCACACTGTGGGGATTAAATAGTAATTATGGTACACGTCAATAGGTGTCCATGGTGCGATGAATGTTGTCCTTCGGTGTGAAAAAGTCCAAAGCCTACTCCCCCCCCTCCCCCACCACCGGAAACTGAAACCTCCTCAAGTTCAGTTTGGAGATTCGCATTAGAGCCATGGAGGACCGGAATTACGTCAGAGTGAGCATTCTTGGATATTTCACACATATATATGGTGTGGCATTACTTAGGTGCATCGTAACTGCCTCTTTTGTTTCTTTGGTCATACTTTTAGAGAGCTCAAGCACTGGATGCAGTGCACTGTAAGTGCAGCGGAATCGGTAGGATATGTTTGTGTCTAGTTAAATTGCAAAAGTAATTGTTAATGTTTTACGTCCCCAATGATAGACTTTAATTTGGGCCTCTCAGGGCCAACCCGCGCTTGTTTTTTTTAAATCCTGAAAACCCTGACGATTACATAATTATTTATAACCAAAACTTAATAATGAAAAAAGCATGGAATCGACTTACGACTTGTCAGAGATAACCTACATCAACATGTAGGCAATATTATTACTTGCTGAAACACTAGGTGCAATGATTCAAGCTTTCGAAGGCAGGGAATCGTATCTATCTATCTATTACAAAATTAGCTTATTACAACGTCATGAAGTCTGTCCCTGGACACAAGATTACAATGACGTAACAGCTCTATTCCTCGGTTGTCAGACCTCAAGCCGTCACCCACATTAACTCTTTTAGGGCGAGCATTCTGGTTATTCTACAAAGTTTAAAAACCGGCTATTTTTGGGTCACTTTAGAAAAGAAGCATAACTTAAAACTTAGACTTTGCTGCTCATGCAGATTTTTAAAATGTCTGTTACATATAGACAGGTAATAACACGCAGAATAATAATAATATGAAATGTACAGAAATCGTGTTTCCGATTTATTAATGATGGTTCGAAATGTGCTGCAACATTGTTTTTGATCTGCAGCTGACAGGAGGCCAGGACATAATTATGAATATGTCCGCTTTGTCTTCAACTTCAAAGAGTTAAACTAAACTTAAACAGTACACACACAGCATTCGCGCAAGCCAAAATAGCGTCATAGCTCCTCATAGCGAGACGGTAAGCAAGATGGAGTGCACATGTTCTGTCTCTTGGTGGCTGCTAGCTCTGTGTGTCTTTACCTCATTATCGACTGGTCAGCTTCCTTTTGACGATAAATGTCGTTTGATGATTGTTAGGTAAGGTTGTCATTGTCAAACAGCTTTTGTCAGTATGTTAGTGTTTTAGCGCCTAGAAATGGCCGCCTGCACTGTATGCTTCCGAGCAAGTTGAGGTTGTTTCAGAATGCTCTCAGGTCTGCTGGGGTAATAGTATAGATTGTGAAGCGCATAGAGCCTGCTGTTGAGCTGGGAATTGCGCTATACATATGCTATCTATTATTATTATTATTATTAGTTCTTGTTGTGTTTGTTTGTTTGAGTAAAGAGAGTACATGAACACAATAATGGTCATTTAGTGCTGGGGAAAAAGTAAGACGGACAGACAGACAGACAGAGGGAAAGTAAAGAAGTACATGTAGTACCTACCAATAGTGCCCTCCAACAACCCACTGGAGTATTTCTGGGGATATAAGAGTGGCTTTTTGTGACGGAGGCTACTAAAATTTACCCCCCCCC